CTGCCGGTAACGTGCGGCGACGGGGCCAGGGGCCGCGCTAGTCCTAGCTACGTGGTGGCGTTAGGCAGGGGCGCACCCCGCCTGGGGGCGGGAGGTTGAAATGTCCGGTGCCTGCCGGCGCCCGCCTCCAGCCCTCGGCCGGGTGCCCACAGAGACAACAAAGCGCTTCGAGAGGCGTCTCGTCCTCCTGCCGGTGCGAAGCGCTGGGGAGCGCCCTGGAGGTGAATTGCGTTGAGTGTTTAGAAGCGGCTGTTTTCTTTCAGGTTAAACTGCCCTTTTCTCTCAGCACACCTTCTTTTAGGAGAAACTATTTACGTAAAGATGGGCGCGCAGAACTTTTTTTAACAGCAAGAAATACAGGGAGATAGGAAATACAGCTTTGCCTTGGCTGATTCTCTTACCTGTTCGCTTTGAGAGCAAAGCTGAAAGTTAATGGAAAAGCAATAGACTCTCCATCCACTGGCTTTTTTTTCCCCCCCCATGCTTTTTTCAGTGGAGGCACAGGCTACTGTGTAGCAAATTGAAGCCTACAAGACGGGAAGAAGGTGCTTTCAGGTGTGGTTTCACGTTACAGCTAAGATAATGAAATACTGAGTTGCGTGGAAAGAGGCAGCCCTATTTCAGGTTCCCTATCCCATACGTCTGAGCTCGCAGTCTGAAAGTTGCATGTTAAATCAATTCAGCTACTTGAGCATTTTTTTTTTTTTCCTAGGGATAATTTTCTGTCAGAGCAGCCAGCTGACCTGACTCACTGTATGTCTGCTTCATCACTCGACATGATCCAGGGGAAGAGGCAAAGGTACATATTCTGGTAGGAAGAAGAGAGGGTAGGACCATCTCTTCCAGTGGCTGCTTGCTGTTAGATCAGTTTAGCTACACCTAATTTTATTTTATTATTTATTAATTTTTTACTGCCCCCTTAGGGAGAGTGGTTGGCACTTCACAGGTTGAAAGTTACGGTATGACATCAGTTGAATTTGTCTAGCTGTGCTTTGCCAATAGCTATTGCAACTGGTCTAAGACTGTTACTGCTGCTTCTTTTCAGTTCCTTTCAAAATAAAAATAATAATAAAAAAAAACCAAACCACACAACAGCTCAGAAACAATCTTTTTGCTCCCAACAGTTAAAGGTATATATGTAATTCACTTCTGGAATTGCAAAAATTTGTATTCCTGTGGGAAAATATGAATGTTGTGCTGATTTCATGTGCAGGATTGCTGGAATTAGGATTTTATTTTATTTTCAATCTATCTGCTAGCCCAGGTTCTTCTTACACCCTTTCAGTTAGAGGAGAAGACTCCTTTACTGGAGTATGGAAACAAGCTTTAAGGTTGAGGAAACTATTTTGGAGAGCTTAAATGTTTTTAGATTGGCCATTGTTATTTACTTGAAAATTAATTCAAATTAGTTTTCCATCATATTTGTCCTTAAGTGCCAGTATGTCACAGATTTTGCATTGCTGAAAATGGCTTGAAAAGGTGAAGGATTGATAGCTACGAATTACAGAGACCATGAAATGGAGTAGGCAGTAGTTTTATAGTTTGGTCCCAGAGAGGTGATGTAATTGCTCCTATATCATTTGGGAAGGATTAAATGAGGATCTGTTCCTATTTTCAGCATCAGTGGCCCAATAAATTTGCTAGATATTTGAGAAGAAATGGCAGAACAGCTAATGTTTACATTGCCATGGTTTGCTTTCACTGTCAGTACTCCATACTTCATCACGAGTGGTTTGTACTTCTCACAAAGGAACTGCTTCTGTTTAACAGGTTCAGGTGAATTCATTGTATTCGTTTGCATTTTATAGCTTTGATTCTGGAGCAAATTTTCTGCCATGAGTATTTAAAAAAGCCCCAAAACCTTGGAAGAATCAAGCGCTTGCACTGCATAAAGGGCTATGCAAATTAGATGTAAACTATCATATTTTCGAAGTTGTCACTTTAGAACATTTTATGTTAGTTACAGAAAGTACTTTATTTCTTCACCTCTGACGGAGTCTTATCCTGCTTGCATCAAAAGTCTGTAGCAGTTTAGACTGCCATGTTAGAAGCATAAGGAATTGGCTGTAGAAAAGTATAATGAATAATGTTAAGAGGCAAAAAAAAGAAATTACTTCCTTGTATACATAGGTATTATTTGCTATACCAGAGCTGAATTTAGCTTAATGCGGTTTTCTAATCTCTAGGGTATTTTCAATCTTATTTTATGTTTTAGTGTTGATTTCAACCTATGAATGCTACTTTGATAGTGGTATGAAAATGTTTAAAAAATAAAGTAAAAATCCTAATATAGGATTTCTTTGTGAAATGAATTTCAGGAAATAGCGGCAGAAGAAACAGTCTTACAACTGCAAACGAAACCTAACAGCACGTTACAAAGCTGGGAGTACCTACTAAGCCTGTTTCTTTTAATGAAATTTGCCATGATGTTATATCTCAGCAAGGGCTGAGGACAAGCCTTTACTGGAGAGAGGGATAATCATAGTTTACAGCTTCCTGGGCTCATGAAAAGAGTCTGGCATATATATTTAGTTTTTCAGTGTACATGTACAATGTATGTGCTTGGCATAAGAACAAATATCTTCTGTGATTTCATAATATGCTTTGCTGTTAAAAATGTTGACAGTTTTATTTGCAAGCTCTAACGTTTTCTTTCTACGTGCAAGCAAAGAAAGCCTTGAACACAGGAACTAAGAACATTATTCTGTATTAGTAAATAAGAGTTAAATAATGCACATCACAGTCACCTCTTTCCCATCATAACGTTGTTCTCTAGAGTGGACGGAGATCTGGGTGCACCAGAGAGTGACAGTCTTTAGTGCACCAGAGAGACAGGTCTTTTAGTGGATACAAGAAGTCTGCAATTACCAAACTTGCCTCTGGCCTGCAGAGAGGGCACAGTGGGAACTGAAACTGATGAAGTCCTGCTACTTTTCTTGTATTAGCTCCATCGGTGCCTTTTAGTTAGCTCTTATTTGCCAGAATTGACCTTATGCACTCTGGTTGTACACAGAAATCATGATCTGTGGTCATCAACCATGTAAAAGTGTATCTCAGAAATTATCATGGACAAATTTAAGTGAACGAACAGGCGAAACAGGGTGGCTTCATTTTTCACGTTAGGAGAAGCTTGGTAAAGCCTAGCGGCTTTGCCAAGTTCATGAACTAGATTCCACTAATCTGAAACATGGACTTTGGGAAATTTTTTGCCCTTGAAACTTTTTTCCTTTATTTATTTTTCCAAATTAACATTTGAATGAGTCCTTTCTAAACTTAGGCGAGTAAACGAGAGGAATCAATACACCACAGAGTTCTGTTTAAGTCTGGCAAACAGCAGCAGTGGGAGTGCAGTGCCTGTTGAGCAATGGAACATCTTGTGGTAGCCTAGTTATGAAGCTTTGACGATACAGCAAGGCAAAGCTGTGGGTAAGAACTTTTAGTAAACCACCTGATGGAAGTACAAAAAGCAGACAAGTAGTGGAACACAGGAGTTCTGTGGTCTATCAGGCTTGCTACAACTGAAGAACTTGTGTGCCCAAAACCCGGTTTAATCCAGCTGTCGTTAGGCCTGATGCAAGTTATTATGTTTCCTTGCAAGTCATGCTTCACTGACATCCTGTTCTCACCTACTGATATCTGCCTTGAAACCACAATATATGCTCAAGTCTGAGGCAACTGTTGCAAATAACTTTTGAAAAGTACCCATGGACGTCTAGACAAATGAGAAATGTCAGGACTATGGCCTGTCCAGGGCAAAACAATAGGTCAAATTCAGTATAGTGAAAAAAAGCAAAATTTTTAATATAAAGATTTCATACAGCAATAGCTTCACAATGAGGAAAAAGAGGTGAAAGAAAGATTGAATGCAATAAAAATAAAGAATAGCAAAGTACAAAGAGGGAGTACATTTTTTTTAAAAGATTTTGTAGGTGGTAAAAATTAACTACAAATCTTAGCGATACACCTGTATCCTTGTCCCTATGTTTCTTGTGTGTGTTATAGTTGAATGTTAACAAACTGCACCATGTAGTGTATGACTGCATCGTCTGAATCAAGAGTACAGAAGGAAAGTAATCTCTGGAGTCTTACTGTCATTTCTGTAGTAACTATCATTTTTGATGAAGGAATGCTAACAAAGAAATGAGCCTACTAACTCTGTCAAACTTCTGAATATAGCAGGTGCAGATGAACATAAGTAATCTTGTTTAAAAAAACATGCAAGATTAATGCACTTGCACTTTCTATGCGTGTGCTTATCTGTCAACAAATCAGACCATGAGGTAGAGATCTCAACTAAATTATTATACAATTTATGCAAACAAGCAGCCAGACAGGGTGACCCTGCTAATAATGCCCCTGCAGAGGGATAAGCTGCAGCCTGAAACCAATTGTATTAGGCTCAGTTTCAATATGTTAATCTAGAGAAAGCAAGGTTTCACTGTTTCTGTGCTGCATGTTTGACTTGGACACAGCACAGCTCCCAGAGTGGTGGGAACATTCCCATATCATGCAGCCCTGTAAGGCAAACAAATTATCCACAGGCTTACGTAAGATGGTCTAGGTATGTGTCATTTCTTATATTTTCTCCACATAATGTTGTTTCTGTCAAATGAATGTCAAAATTGTGTCATTCCTGTACAACTGTAAAAGAACAAACCGATATAATTACTGGCAAAGAAAATAGTTTTAACTTCTTAGCTGCTGGTTAATTATTCCTACTCCTAAACAGTCTCAGAATTTTAAAGAACTGGCCTAGCAACACGTTGTCAGCTGCCAACAGTTGAAAGCTATCTATAGGATATCTGGGAAAGAAAATGCAGGAAGGTATTTCCTAACTCTACTGAAATACATTAGAGGTGAAGAGCTTATGTTGAAACAGAAGTATTTTACTCAATATGAACTTCCTTAAGGAAGGATGTTTGAGATGTATACAGCAAATGAATAGGGAAGAATAAAGGTTGCCCTGCATACTGGCAGGCCCACAGTTACTGCGACTATTAGCAACCCCTGTCAGGGAGGGGAAGATTACTGTTCCACTGTGTTAATGGCATTTGTGATCCAGAATAGAAGTTCTTTATTCCATGGGGGAAAGCTGTAGAGGATCAGTCAGAAAAAGGTTTTATATCTTTTTGTGGGGAGATAGCAATAATATTTTGTTGGACAGGAATATATCGTCCATGGCAGGAAAAAGGTTTCATCTGCAGCCTTGTGCTTAGAAGGCGGGAAACCCCTTGACACTGGGGGTTAATTGCAATTTTAAACAATAAACTAACTGGCTATGTCTTAGCAGATAATTTCTAGATCTTTGGGAAAAGTCTCCGTCCTCATCAAAGATTGCTGGTTTTTTGATGGGGCCAGGAAAAGGGTGAGAAGAGGCATGTGTAGACTTGATTTGTAAAAACTATTTGAAAATATTAATTCTGTATTTGAGTGGAAATTTACAAAATCCTGAACTCTTCACATTATCATTAGCTACAGTGAATTTAGCAGCTTGCAGGGTTACAGCAAGATAAGATACAGATTGCACTTAAGTATAGAAATTTGATTAGAAAGTTAATCCACTGTTTTAGAGAATGCCGTTGCTTAAAGTTACCTTATTCTGGATTTAGTTTTTATGATACAGTTACATTTAGTTTTGCCAAAATAATTGCTGGCTTTCTGGACTGGTCAGTTAGTTAAGTGACAAACAAAGATTTCTATACCACTCATTAAAGAATGATACAAGAACAGGCATGCAACAACCAGATTAATCTGTGCTGCTGACAGTGCTCTAGAGATATTTATATGTAATTGCAGGCTTCTTCTTCAGTACCAGGAAAAAAATTGTTAAATTATGATGACTAAACTAAGTTTTGAGGCAGTAATGTTATCTAGACTATTGGCTTCTATTACTAAATTCCATTATTTTAAAGAGTATTTTATGAATAATTTGTTAAAAAAAACTATTTCAAATTGAAAAGCCAATGCAATTTACAGATACGCTTTTAAAAATACATGATTTTTAACAACATTAACCAGTTTTGGCTGTTCACACAAGTGTTGTTCCACTAAAATTATTTTGTTATTGTTGACTAAAATAATTTTTTAATCCTAATGTAGGAAGATTTCAGGTTGTAAATTATCAGAAGAGTAAATACCACATTGACAGTAAAACCTGGCTTAGCTCCCAACACCAATGCTTTGTATGTTTCTGCAGTTTACAGCCACCTGTGTAACAATAGTACCCTAATGATATTTTGAAGGATGTTAATGGATACATTTTTATATAGATTATACATATATTTATCCAAAGCTTTTGTAGTTGCTGACTATGTCTACTTCTGGGGTTAAAACCAGTAGTCTTCAAACAGCACGCAGAGGCAATACATACATGCAGGTCCTCAGGGCAGATACGGCATTCATTTTATTGAAGCATAAATTTGGCAGGTTTAAAATCCAGAAAATTCTTAGCTCCACTGTGGCTTTGTCATTCCTTACAGTTATTGGAGAGGATACAGTTATTGCTCTAGCATTTGTGCAGATCTGTGTTGGTAAGAATACACTTTCTCTGCCCTATAACTCTCAGCCTGATTATCCATCACCAAAAACATTGTGCCTCTAAGGAACTCTAAGGAAACATACAGAATCAGCAATTTTATTTCTAATTAGACTTGGTGTTACCCTTTTAAACTAAGAAATGCCTCTGTTCTTGAGAATGAGTTTCAATATTAACGTGGAAGCAATCAGAGTCAACCCATACCATCAATAGCTGGACTCCAATGATATGCCGAAAAAACCACTTCTTTGGTTTTTACACATCATGAATTACAGAAATGTTAGTGGTCTGTTAGCTCTACCTTGGAGATTTAGATATATAGAGATGTGTGTGTGTGTGTGTATAACCCAATGGCAAAACCTCCATTTATCCAGGTGAAATAAGGGTGATGCTCTGAATCTTCTAAATACCATGTCAGTACTCTCACTGGTAGGATGATTTAGGTGTACACCATAAGAGCTCTTCTCACAAAGACTTACTCTTTTACAAAAATTCACAAATTCAGTACCAGAACCATTGAAAAACATTAATATTATTGACTAGGATGAGAGGAAACGGCCTCAAGCTGCACCAGGGGAGGTTTAGGTTGGATATTAGAAAAAACTTCTTCACCGAGAGGGTGGTCAGGCACTGGAGCAGGCTGCCCAGGGAAGTGGTTGAGTCTCCATCCCTGGAGGTATTTAAAAGACATGTAGACGTGGTGCTCGAGGACATGGTTTAGTGGTGGACTTGACAGTGATAGGTTAACAGTTGGACTCGATGATCTTAAGGGTCTTTTCCAGCCTTAAGGATTCTAGGATTCTATATTAATGAAAAGCCCAATAGCAGGATGAGCTACTGGATTCAGTCTAAGTTCTGAAAATAAGAGCAATTTAATCTTTATCACTTTTTTTTTTTTTTTTTAAGATTTGTAACATGCATGACAGATGGAAAATAATCTGTGGAAAAGCACTCAATTTTTAATGCTTTATGGAGCAAAGGCTACTTTTAGTTCCTCCAGTGTAAGCCAGCTGACTGACTTGGAGCGCTCTCGGTGCAAGGGTAGAACGCGGCTGTAAAGTTACCTTGTTAATAAACACGTAAGGTGGCTAACACACAAACGTAGTCTTTATAATGGCAAATTCAATTACGCTGGTTTCTTTTGTTTGTCTTGGACAATAAATAGCAATACAGGATATTTCTTATTTAGAAAGTGATCTCATGCACAGACCCCATTTAAGAAATCTGTATTACTTTAAGTATATTGAAACCTTAAGCGAGAGAATTTGCTGGAGATGACAATGGGGACCCAAAGCAATGACATACAAAGATCTGACATCACCACGGTATTGGAAGCGCCTGTAGCACAAGAGGATGAATTTTAAGCATTTGTGAAGAAGCAGCGCCGCTTGCGGTTGTTGCTCTGCAATACTCGGGTTCTTCAGCTCTGCCCTGCGCTGCCAGCCATCTGCAGGTGCAGCTCAGATCCCAGCGGCGACCACCCCTCCCTGCCTGAAGGCAGTCATTTAAGCGCCTAAGAGCTTAAATAACCCGTAGGGGCAGGACAGCGAGCGCTTGATTCTATAGCGCCGGAGTAACTTCGTTTAGGTCGGAACTAGCGCTACGTCACGAGCCGCAAGGCGCAGCCCGCGCCCGCGGCGTTGATGAAGCAGGGACTGCTGACACAGTGGAGCGCCGCCCGCCCCG